TGGAAAAATGCACATATATATGTAAAAATAAACAATTACAAAATTTTTAAATGTAAATTGACATTTATTTCCTCTTAATTTAGTCCAGCATCATGGTACCTGCCACTTAATAATCTGTAGGACAATTTGTTTTATTTTGCTCATCCATAGTCAAGTCAAAAAAAAAAATAGTCTATAAGGTTGGCAGTTCATAATGTGGGGAGGTGGAACGTATCAATTTCCCTCATCTTGCAGTGGTATTCTGATTAGCTTAGCACAGGAACACAGCACAGTGAAACACCTGGTTTTGGAAACACACTGCTACCAGAAAAATATGACCCCATGAAAACATCATGGTGAGAAAGGAGGGAGAAAGTGACAGAAAAAAGGAGGGAGGGAGAAAGAAGGAATATGAATGAGAATAAGCTAAGCATATAGGACAATAAGTTAGAACTAATGACTCCCACAAAAGGGTATAGAGGACCTGATGCATTATTCTTCTACTTTTCTGTGTATTTAAAAGTTTTCAAAATAAAAAAAAAAGGGTTAAAACCAAAACCTTGTAAACAAATATACTGAGGGCATCCTAAATAGTACTTTCTAAAAAAAATTATTTATTTGCTGCATATAAGAACTGGGGTGCAGGCCAGAGGTGTGGGTAGAGGGTGAGAGTGCTCACCAGAGACAGAGTGGGGAGCAGAACAGGCAGATCTACTGAAATACACTGCTGAGGGGAGCAGAGAGCAGGTCAGGAGAGGTCTGCTGGGCCATGTGGGTTACTCCTTGGCTGGGAATCGAACTTCTAAGGCAGTAACTGCAGAGAACTTCACAGTGTTGTGGTCTTTAACCCCTGTGCCACCGGGGAGGACCCCTCCTAAGTAGTTTTCAAAGTGACTTAGGGACCTTTGATCTATGTGTCTGCCTAGGCAAGTGAATTGGGCACATGTTCAATTAAAGTACAGACTACATAAAATTTATGACTGTTCTCATTATGAGTTCAGAAGGATATGTGGAACAGTGTTAGCAATATACAATGTAATGAAATTAATTGTCTTTAATCATTTTATTAACTTCAAAAGAGCCCTAAACCTGACCAATCTCCTTTCTGAAGAAGCAAATAATGAAACTATATAAAAGAGAAATTGGCAGAGACGCTGGCTGTTCTGTCATTTCACAAGCAAGATTCCATTTTACACAATAATATTTACTGAGAATGCCTAGAACACTCCTTAAACCCCAAAGGTATATATGAGCCTCAGAGAGGAACACCGGCATGTCATAAGTGTTCTGGAGGCTGATTTGCTTCTTTTTACCAGGTCAGTCATGACTAAGTTAACCAATTAGCCATTTCCAACCCACATCTTTAAGTAATAGGAATTCCATCAAACACCATGTTAATCAAAGAGATGGCAGGAGTTTTAGTAAATCACATAATATGCATTAAGCACCAAATATCATCACCCCTCCCAATTTTTTATATAATATAGTTACAGTGATCTGAAAAGGTATTATAATCAGCTATCTTCTGAAAACCACTGGAGAAAAAAATAAAGTCACAGAGTTTGACAAGCTCAGGCTGATATTTTAAACAAGTTGAGGCCTATGGAATAAAGACATTTGCTCATGGTCCTGGAACTAGTCAGGAACACACCTTGAGCTGTAATTTAAGATTCCTGACTCCTTGGAAGTCCTTTTGTGATAGTGTGATCTCCATAATAAGGCAAGGTCCATGTTCCCTGTCCCACCTAATGGCAGGTGGACCAGATGGGTGAGAAGATACAGGAAGCTGAGGGAGACACAGAGAAGACTTGGAGGAGACATATGGAGCAGAGACATGTGAAAAGTCACACTTGTTTTTCGGTTTTGCACTTCCAAGTTTGGCGGGCTTGGAAGGGGAGACATGCATAGTGACATGTGGAGATACTTGGAAGAGACAAGGTGAGAGACACTTGGAGAGGTTGACAATGGCAACCATTACCTTGGTTTGTATTTGAATGTTGAGCCTTTTGAAACTGGGGCCCTGCAGCAGGGATTGCACGGCAAGGCTGTCAGTTTTCATCCCCACATAACTGGTAGGAGCCATTGGAAAAACATGGCCGATTTACCTGCCCAGGTCAGTTGCTGCCTGTGGCTCTGGTGGAGTTTTGACACAGAACCTGTGTGCGGGTTTCCCACCGGCTGCTCAGTATTGCCTCTGGACAGCACCTAAGATGTCCTGCAACAGACAGCTACATGCAGGCTCGGCACTGGCTGGGCTTGATGGCCAGCCTGGCACTAAACTTCTTATATTTGGTCTTTTTCTTCCTGTATCAGAAATGGACTTCCTTCCACTGGTGGAAACCTGCTCCTTTAATAGATCTGACTCCATGGCAGCTGGCCCATACAGGTCTCTGTAAGAACATCGCTTGCAAAAACATTTTGTTCAGTATGATTCTGTTTGATGTGAAGAAGCGGTCGACCATGCCTCTATATATTGGTCCTTCCTAAAGTATTCATTACATTATGTGGATACAATCCTAAAGTATTCATTACATTATGTGGATACAAACAAGTACACTTAAATATATGTTTACACTGTAAAATCCTTTTTGCTTATTTTTTAAGTTTCTTACTATTCTTTCTATATTTCTAAATTAGAATATTAGTTTTAATATATTAAATAGTGAAATTAATAAAAGAGTTAACATATCCATTTGTTGAGGGATAAATATTTAAGCATTTTGAAGGCTGTTTTCTACCAAGAAAATTCAATCAATCAATATTTATTGATCTTCCACTCTGTACTGTTTTAAATGACTGCAAAGAAGGCAGGAAATGCAACAGTGCCTTGCTCTTATGGTGCTTACATTTTAGTAGAAGGAAATGGGCGAGCAAAAGGATGTGGCAGGACGAGGTAAGTGCCATGGAGAAAAGTAGGGCAGCGGAGGCAGAGAAAGGAGTGCTGGGATGAGAGGCAGCAGAGAGGGTGAGAGGGAGGAGATGAGGAAGCCAGACATTCAATCAGGTGAGGGACAGGGAGTCTGGGTGGAGGGAAGAGCAAGAAGTCTTTGAGGTGGGAGAATGCTTGGAATGTTTGAGCAAAGGTGAAGGGATCTGTGTGAGTGACTGAAGGAAGCCAAGCAAAAAGGGTACAGGTAGACATCAAAGTCTGGGTGTTACAGAGCCTTATAAATCATTGTAAGGCTTTTTGGTTGCGGGGGGAGGGCAGTCACTGTAAGCTTTTCCCAAAGTGTTATGGGAAGTTTTCCAAAGAAGGATGAAATCGTATCACTTATGTCTTAGTAAGGAAGCAAGGAAGACCCACTAGGTTATTCCAAGGGAGACTAGGCAAGGAATTATGGTAGCTCGAGCAAGGGAAATAGCAAGTGAAAATGTTGAGAAAGAATTGGATTCTGGATTCTGGATGTATTTTGAAGGTCAGAACTAACAAGAGTTTGCTAGTGGGTTGGTTATAGGGTGTAACAGACAGGACGCCCTAATGATTTTGGGCTGAACATTTTAGAAGGATGAATTGTCATTTACTGGCATGAGGGAGACCAGGATTAATAGTTTTGGAGTGGGAGGAGATTAGCGTAAGGTGAGTCAAGACGCAGTTTAGAAAAAAGGCTATTCATCTTTTCAATAAATGAAAGTGTTAGCCTTCAGACTGAGGGGTACCCTGGAACCCCCAACCTGCAAGCTTTAAAGAGGTTCTGCCATCTGCCACATGATGCAAATGCATATTCTTAGAGTGAAAAAGCTAATAGTGTGCATAGAGAGAGAAGAAAGGGTAACCCAAAGTTACCTATTCCCTCATGGGTGAAAACCCAGTTATCACGGGTGAAAAACCAGTTATCAGTGGCCAAAGCAGGCCACTGAGGCCCAAAAGCTCACTACAAGTCTAAAGCACCTTCTGGTGTAGGACCATAGGAAAGGAGTAGAGTGGTCAGGTGAGTCTAGGATGAGGTGAAACAAGGCAAGGGGGTGTTGTAGCAGGTCAAAAGACAGTGCCTCATACTGAACAGGTCACTGTCTGTGGGTTCTCATCCACATGCATAATTACAAGACCACTCTGGCTCAAGGAATGACAATAGTGAGATTCGTTTAACAACCAGGAAAAAAAAAAGAGTTAAGGTCACAAGGTCTTAACGTTACCCAGGTAGAGTCCACAGTGTCAAGAAGTCCCAGATATAAAGTCACTCATTCAAGATGATGTTGTCTGGCCAATGAGGGCCTGGAACTCTTGATATGCTGGCAAGCAGGGGGTCAGGATCCACCTCACCACAGCTGGAGGTGCCCACATGCAGGGCAGGGCCACTGCAATGCAGCAGCAACAGCCTCAAGGTCAGGATAAACACACTGGACACAGGACATTGGACCAAATAGCTACAGCGGCAGCAGCAGTGAGAGATGGTGCCAGGCAATACACCATGTTAACAGCTCTCAAAAGTGACCCAGACACAGAGTGTTGGTCACCCATCAACAGTGCCGGGCAGCACTGGCTAATAGTGCTGGTCACCCGGTCACCAGAGATGGTGGTAGAAATACCAGCATTGCATCTCTGTGAGTTGTTCCATACCAACAGCAAACAGCTCTTTGAAACACCAGGCCCAGGGCCTTTGGTGCTCTTTTCAGGCAAAGTTGGTGGTTGGATCAGAAGCAGGTGCATCTGCCTGGTCACTGCAAAGCCTTTTGGCTTCCCTCTTCAGAGGTTCACAACTGGATGCTTTCTTCTTTCTTCTTCCTTTGAAGATCAAGCCCAAAATGGGAGCTTGGGAGTATCAAGTTGGCTCCTGCCCTGCCTTAGATCTTCTTTCAGGGTCCCTCCCTGATTGAACCATTTTCAATTATAAGTGACTAGTGGGACCATTTTAGGTACATGGCCCAGAAGGGAGAAAAGAAAGTGGTGGAAGGAAAAGAGGAAGCATGAAAAACTATAAAAAATAATATGTAGGACAGTTTTATCCAGAGGGTAAGGGAAGGAATAGTCTTAAAACAGGACCTATGTAAAAGAACCTACTGAGAAATGTAAGAGAGAAATTAGCATTCTTTTAGCAAGACACAGAAATCTACCACCTAAGTTTGGATCAGAGATCAAATATGGGTTTAACTTGGGCTCAAACTTCTCCAGATATCAAAGGTGGGGATTAAAGGAAATAGTATAAGAAAAAGACAATCTGTCATTGCCCAGCTCCCCCCAAATTCTAGGGCTGACTTCCTAAAAGAGGAGCAGGACCAAAGGGAGATATTTGGTATTTTTCTTTTGAACCATATTGTCCAAGAGAAATATAATGCTATCCACAAATGTGAGAATTTGTATGCTTTAAAATTTCCAGGTAGCTATGTTTTCTTAAAATAAAAAGAAACAGGTGAAATTAATGTTAACTAGTATACCCCAAATTGGATCATTTTTAGTATGAAAAAAATCTTTAGCTATTTTGCATTTTTTTGTTTGCATACTGAGCCTTCAAAAATCCTGGATATCATCTCCACATATTTACAAGAACTAGCACATCTCAATTAGTACTAGCTACACTTCACATGCCAGAGAACCACATGTGTGTGGTGGCGAGCAACAGGACAAACCACTCTAGTGGGCAACATCCATTCATCATTTATATTCTAAAGAAGGATCCAGGAGCACACAAATTGTATCTTAAATTCTTATGGTCAATAAAGTAGTTCAGTCATACATTAAACTTCAAAAAGTGCTAAGCCATGGTGGACTAAGTAGAAAAAGGATAACGCTAGATAAATAGGTAGGAAAGAAAGGCTGGGATCTCGGGCTACACTGTGGATACCAAAAATTTATCATTTTTGCAGCTTTGGACACAGCACTAAAAAGACAACTTGAATTCTGTCGCTTAAATGAGACAGAGAACTGCCCTACACGTCACAGGAAATTGTCCTAGTGATTTAATCTAGTCTCAGGGCTACCTCAGTAGCAAAAGGAAATGAAGAACAAAAAGGACAAACTTACTTAAATTTGTAACTTTCCCGCTTATTATTCACAAATCCATCTGCCAAATCACGAGGTAAGATAATTTCCAAGCTAGATGTTAAGTTTTCATCTTCATCTATGGAGTAAATCTGTAAACAAGAAGACAACAGATGAACGTAAAATTACAGCTTGCCCTATTGCCACTTAATATGACGTGCATTGTCATGGAATAAAAACTGTACCTTTAAGAGAAAAATTCATAGCATAATGTAATACAGATAATTTTCCTCTTTGAACTGTGTGCTGACTCAAACAAATAAATGGAACAGAACAAGAGGAAAAACCTAAATCAATGCTCTCTCCAAGCACAGATTGTCTTGAAAGATCTAATGTGCAAGCTTGAGCATCTGAGTGTGTCTCTTGTTGAGAAACTAATAGCCCTGAAAGGAACTATTATCTAAGTATTGCTTTGGAGTTATATACCAGAAATCAACATTTTACTACAACCAATAAGCCTTACTGAGCATTTACAAAATGATCTAGACACAGAGATCAAAGGAGGAGGTCAGAGAACACACAAGAATGCTCTGATTCTAGTTGTGTTCAAAGAAGCCCATGTTTCTGTGAGACAAACCCAAGCATTTGATAAAAGAAATGTGGTTTTAAAAGACACATGTAATTCATGTCTTTGATGTCATTTTTAAGGTTCTCCTCCCATTTCAGCCACTAATTAGCAAATGACCTAGGAGAAATCACTTAACCTCGTTAAGCTGATATGGAAATGAAGGGTCTTAACCAAGCACCTTACATCTGTCATTTCTCTGATGCTATTCTTGGTTACCAACTTCTTCATTTATTGGCAGAGAAAAATGAAGAGTCAAACCTATAAAGAAGTCACTTGGAATAAAGGCATAAGATTGTGTATCTTAAGAGCTGGATACAAAGCTGAGTTCAATTTGCCAATTGTGTGACCAGCCACCACTTTAAAAGTTCCAGCTCCTTATACATAAAACCAGGAAAACCGAATTGCGTCCATTCCAAGACTGTGGTAGGAATCAAATGATGTCATAGAAATGGAAGCATTTTGTAATGCCCCATAAAAAATGTTAGTCATTAGATTTAGAGGTTTTTAAAAAAGACTTCTTGTCTTTCACCAGGAAATAAAATTCTAACAGGCAGTACTTCCGTTTTTAGACTCATTTGGATGCTTGATTATGGGGAAAGTCATTCTTAATGTCTACCTAAATCTCCGGATAATCTGAATAATTTTCCAGAGCAGATTTTTATTGAAGACGCTCATTTAAAATTTGAAGAATTCATGTAGAAAAGGAATTCTGTAAAATAAAATTATTTGTGAAAAATAATGGCATCAGGGCCAAGGCTTTCTGGCTAGGTTTTCTCAAAACACATTTAAAATGATACACTGTGGGATACCAGGTGAGTGAAAGGAGTGTGACACATTAAACATATAGCAGTGAGGGGTGCCACATATGTAACAACAGTTAATACTCAATGCTTACAAAAGGGAAAGGTTAGAAGAGTGACCTCCATTTAAGTAATTTTTTTAAGATTTATTTATTTATGCATACAGAGCTGGGGTACAGGCCAGAGGTACAGGGGCAGTGAGAGGATTCACCAGGGACAGAGTGGGGAGCAGAGCAGGTAGACACACAAAGTACACTGCTGAGGGAAGCAGTGGGTGAGACAGGAGAGGTCTGCTGTGACATGTGGGTCACCTCCTAGGCTGGGGATCAAACTGGCGCTGAAGAGGTTGTGGCTAGTTTTGCTTTAACCCACTGCGCCACCTGGGAGGCCCCCACGTAAGTCATTTTCAGAGGCATTTATAAAAAAAGCTTGTTTAGTCCATCTTCAGGTAGAAAATATTTATTTGAGATAGAGTAGGGATTTTTAAGATTAGAAAGACAAGTAGATCAAATGCAAGGATGAATATGAAAATGTTGGAGATGCACACAGCACTAAACCAATGGAAAAGACTACCATTGTTAAAATTATCACTAAGGTTCACTTAAGTATCCTCTAATTTACTAATCTATAAAATAGAATAATTTAATTTTACAGTGCCTTAAGAAATAAGATTAATGAGGTCTGGAGCCACAAACTTAAGAGAGAAAAAAAATGCCTTTGAACCACTCTTGGTTTAATGCTACAGGCAGCATAGCTAGCTAGAGAAGCCACCACACAATCTGGAGAACTAATTCAAAATTTATTCATCTGCATTCTCTTATTTTTGTATAAGTGGCATAATGTATTTTGGTAAGAATGTGACATTATGAAAATACAGAATGAAATCTAAAAATACTTCCTGGGGTAATAAACAATCCACTGCACAGAATCTCACCAAAGAAATGCAAAAGAAGGCACATTAAAATAGCTGAATACTACATTTTAAATAAAGAGAAAGTTGAATATTAAACTCAGAATTCTCCATTACTCCTCCTTCACCCCACTTTTATCCATCCCCTTATTTACCACACCCAGGCAGGTGCTAGTGACTACAGCCTTTATAGTCTACTCAACATTTTTAGTTAAGAATCTTATATACTTTATACATATAATGCACTTTTTAAAACTTTTTTTTGTGAGTGTAAGAGGAGAGAAAATGGAAGATATTCATGATTTCATTCTACACTGCACTATTCCTCTGAAAGAAAAATGCCAATTGATTTTTAATCATCTTATAAGATCTCCTTAATGTATTCCATTAATAAAGACAGATGATGACGACAAAGATACTGTATTCCCCTTATTTTTAAATGCTACATTATGAGCTGCTGTGATGTTAATACATATACATACATACGGTGTAGACATGGAATAGAATAATATATTACTAGTAATATAACCATTACAGGTATTTGTGAATACGATATAGCTTGCTCTTTCCTAAATTCTCACTTTGTGAGGCCACGAGTGTTTTGTCTGAAGGGAGAAGAGTTTCAAACTTAAAAAAAAAAAATCATTTGTTAAAACAATGGTCCTGCCACTAACAAGCTGGATGGTCACCTATTTAACCTGACCATTCAGTGTCCTCATCTATAGAATGAGGAAATTGGCATCTAAGTGATAAGAATGACTCAGCTCTTTTTCTGGCCTGAAAAAAACAATGATTTAAAACAGTTAAGAATCTTGCAAAGTTTACCTACTCAGAACAAAGCCAATCTGGAAAGGTTTCCCTGGATCCTTTTAAGATTAGCACACTAGGGGAAGCATCTCAGAAATGCTCAGTTAATATTTTCTAACCGGTGGGTATAGTGTATTCTCTGTTTCTGAATGCATAAGTATCAATCATCTGAAATGAGAACTATAACTAAGTGAATAAAATTTTTAGGGGTTCACTGTGTGCAGAACCACAGTATATGTTTTGGGTACCTGTATCTGTTTTCTGCATTATCTATTTTCTGTATTATCTCAGTAGCATAAGGCTGTGCATCTCTTGCTTGCTCCGTTTGTGAAGTTTAAAAACAGAAGTTTGACTGAGTCGACCTGTGAAGAACAGAGTGACTGTTTCCCAGAAAGGTACAAGAAGGATGCACAGTTAAGATGCACTCTGTGTGAGGATTCAGAGATGCATGCACGCGTCTGGCCCTGAGTGACCACTTGTGCCTGGAGCCTGGTACAGAGGCAGAGAGCTGGGGTAGGCTTCACCTGGCCAGCAGAGTCGAGTTAAGGGGAGTGGCCTGGGCGTCAGCTGGCTTCCCTCACAGCAGCGCGCCAGAGTCTGAGGAACCCGGGACGTCTCCCGCCCTGTGTGCAGGATTCGGGGCGGTAGCCTGCGCTCCACACCTGGCGCCTCAGCCCAGGCTATATCCCGCGCTCCACGCCTAGCCCCTCAAGCCGGCCCAGGTCCCTCGCTTACGCCCTTCCCCCGAATAGGGGCCCCGTCACGTCGGCACCTAGGAGCTACGGCCCGTACCCCTTGTTGCTGCTTCCGGACAGTGGGCTTCACCCTTGCGAAAATCTGGATCGTCTGCTTCACCATCTTCTCTGTACTGACCCTCAACCTTTCTTAAGTCCCAGCTCCCCAAACTTCTAACTCCGACTACCTTCCGAGAGCTACAGTCTTAGCAACAGTAACTTGGGACACTACCCAAGGAGCACCGCGACTACCGGGACCCCGCCTCCTCTCCCTAATTGGTTGTGAACCGGGAGTGGCCAGGGAGGGGCTGAGAGGCGGGGTTAACGGAGAGGGCTAGTGAAAAGTGCTGCGCATGCGCGTAGTCAAGGTTTGGGTACCTGGCTCTGCATAGGAGCTTGACCTAGAGAGTGCCTTAATCAGGTGGCAACCAGAGTTCCTTCTCCCATTCTGTCTCTCTCATTCTCTCTCTCTTTCTCTCTCTCTTTCTGCCCCCCCCCATCGCTCGCTCGCTCGCTCTCTCTTTTTAATAAAATTTTGACCACTTTTTTTTTTTAAAGATTTATTTATTTATGCTGCAGAACTGGGGTACAGGCCAGAGGTGCAGGGGAGGCGAGGAGATTCACCAGAGACAGAATGGGGAGCAGAACAGGCAGATCAATGAAGTACACTGCTGAGGGGAGCAGGGGGTGAGATAGAAAAAGAGGTCTGCTGCACCATGTGGGTCACCTCCAGGACTAGGGATCAGACTCACACTGAAGTGGCCGCAGCTAGCTTGCAGTGCTATGCTTTGGCCCACTGCACCACCAGGGAGGGCCCAAACATACATAATTTTATATGTGAATTATATCAGTAAAATTAGAAAATGAATTAGTGGATAAACAAGCAGAAAGAATGGGGTTTTTCTGAAGACTTTGTTAGCATGTGAAAACATTCAATAGTATTACTACCAGATAAATAAACCCACATTAATACCACAGTGACATATTACTAGATACCTATCAGAATGGGTAAAATAAAAACTAGTGACAACACCAGATGTTAATAAGGACATGGACAAATTGAGTCACCCATACCTCGGTGGTAGGGTTTTATATTGTAAAGTGTGTCAGGTATAGACACTTTGAAAAAGTTTCTTAGAAAAAAAGATCCAACCACTAGAAGATCCAACAATTGTTGGATTGGAAACAATTGTATCCCAGTGAAATAAAAATGTATGTTTGAACACAAATCTGTGCATGAGTGTTCATAGTAGCTTCTTCATAATACCATCAAACTATAAACCACACAGATGTCTTTCACCCAAAGAGTTAAAAACCTGTGGAATACTATTCAGTAATAAAAATGAAGAAACTACTGATACATACAGCAACTTGGATAATTTTTCCAGGGAATTATGCTGAGTGGAAGAAAGCAGACTCAAAAGTTAAATATTCTGGCCCTCCCTGGTGGTGCAGCGGCTTAAAGCACAGCACTAAGAAGCTAAAGCCACTTCAGCATGAGTTCCAACCCCACAAGCCGGGAGGTGATCCACATAGCTAGGCAGACCTCTCCTGACCGCCGGCTGCTCCCCTCAGCAGTGTACTTCATTGATCTGCCTGTTCTGCTCCCCACTCTGACTCTGGTGAATCGCCTCACCCCCCCCCCTGCACCTCTGGGCTGTACCCCAGTTCTGTATGCATAAATAAATAAATCTTAAAAAAAAGTTAAATGTTGTATGATCCCATTTATGTAGTATTCTTGAAATGATGAAATTTTAGAGATGGAGAGATTAGTGATTGCCAGAAGTTAAGGGGGCAATGACAGGGGATGTGGCTGTAAAAGGACCCCTGTGATGGACTCTATTGCTTCTTGACTATGATGGTGATCACAGATATCTTCATATATGGTAAAATTGAATAGATATCAATACACACGGCTGCATATAAAACTGGTGAAAGTTAAATAAGATGGATGGATTGTATAAATGAACGTTTCCTGGTTGTGATATTGGACTATTATTATCTAAGATGATACCATTGTGCAAAACTGGGGGTGCAAGATCTCTCTGTATTATAGTTTACAACTGCATTTGAATCCACAGTTATTTCCAAATGAAAAGTTTTTAGAAAGAAACTGAGAATGAAAGTCAAGACATACATGCTGAGAACAGTTTTGTAAAGCATATTGGATCAAGGGAAAACATTCAAAGTTCCTTAAAACTCAATAATAAATGGGAAAACAGACAACCCAAACTACTTGTTGAAAAAGAAGGAGCAGACACTATACAGATTGCAAATACTCATGTGAAACAATGTTCAACATAACTAACCATTAATAAAATACAACTGGAGACCATGATATACTATAAACACCTCTGAGAATGACTGAAAATAAGAAAGTAAAACAGGCAATAATAAGAGTTTATAGGAATTCAGAATATCAGGAACTTTCAGACATGGCGGGAAAGAATGCAAGATAAACGAGTCACTTTGAAAAACAGTCTATTTACTTATATATCTATATCTCTGTCTATATGTCTATCTTTCCATGTGCCCCAGAAATACCATTCCTAGGTGTTTACCCAAGTGAAATAAATTGAAAGCTGATATTCACCCAGAGACATGGGCAGAATGATTGTCATGGGTCTATTCAAATTACCAAAAAACTAGAAATAAAGTAAATATTCTTCAAACTGATATGTCCACACAATAAAAATAAGACTGTTGATGCCTGCAACAACATAATTAAATCATAAAATTAGAAGGGAAGAAAAAATGTCAGTGGTACCATGTTTTGGGGGATAGGAAAAGATATTGGGGCAGGTTGTTATTTTATAGGGGGTGGAGGTTGCAGGACCATGACATATCTTGATTGTAGTTGTGGTCACATGACTACACACATTTCCACAGAAATAACTATAAACTTAAAAGGATGGAAATAACTATGCACTTAAAAGGAGTTACATGTAAATTACACTATTCTAAGTAAAACAAAAAAAAACTGAAGATGGTGTATGAACAGGTGCAGTAGTAGTGGGATGGAAAAAGTAGAGAATAAGGCATTTATAAAATAGATTTTAGTGGCTCTCTCACTTGGTTATGGGTGGTAGGAAAGAGATGAATTGTTTTCATATCTTGGCTTTTGTGAACAGTGCTGCAGTGAACATGGGACTGGAGATATCTTTCAAGTTACTCATTTTGTTCCCTTTAGACATATGCTCAGAAGTGGGACAGCCTGTCCATCTATAAATGAATAAAGAAAATATGATATATATATATATGAGAGATACATTTATATATTTATATACATATGTGGAATAACATATATATGCAATAAAATTCCATTAATATAGATAGTAGTAAATGGAATATATACCATATATATGTATGTATAATGGAATGTTATTCCATCATTATAGAGAAGGAAATTCCTGAAATTTGTGACATCACAGATAAAATTGGAGAACAGAGAAAGTACTGAATGATATGTGTATATTCTAAAAAAAAAAAAAACTCAAGGAAATGGAGAGTCGAATGGTGGTTACCAGGGGTCGAGGGAGTGGGGGAACTGAATTGTTAATCAAGGGACATAAACTTCCAGTTATGAGTAAGTTCTGAATACCTAATGTACAACCTCAATCACAAGTACTGTAGTTAATAACACTATATTGTATACTTGAAGTCTACTGAAAATAGATCTCAAGTGTTCTTACCACAAAAAGAATAAATAAAATATTGAAAGTGTAGCTATGGGCAGTGATGTCTGTATTAGTTAGCTTGACTGCGAAGAAAGCTACAGTTGAAAATACAGATTCAGGAGTCATTTCAGGATTTTCCCCACAACGTGATCATCATTCAAGAGGACTGAAGCTGCAGTTCTCACACAGATGGCTGGAGGTGTGAAAGTGGCTGCAAAAGATACTAAGGAGAGAAGTGGAGATGTCTGAAGGAGGACAGGGAGATGGAAAAGCCAACAGGACATTTTGAGAAGAAGAAAATGTTCAGCGTTGTGGATTCTAAAGATGATAAAGTGAGAAATGTCCTTCCAACTTAGCAACTAAAATGCCATTAGCTATCTAGACAAAACCTTCATTGGAATAATAATAATTGGAGTCAACCTGAGATGCTGCTTTTCCAGAAGCTTCATGGGTGGGTTGTGAAGAAACAGTGTGAAAGTTCAAGGAAGCCAGGTTTGTTTGTTTGTTTTCCCATATCTGAGGAGGTAAAGAAGAGGAGGTTGAAAATACAGGAAGGAAATAATAGATAATAAATGGCCCAGATAAAAAACTGGCATTAAAGTTGCCCAGCCCCCATCTGAGGAGCTCAATTTCCAGACTTTCAATGGATACCTGAATCTACCCATCCTAACCTAAACATGCATCCCCATGATGAAGTTTATTTATAAATTAGGCAGAGAAATAGATTAACAAAGCAATGTGGATGTGGGCTGTGTGGTGCTAATCTCTCTCTTACTCTCAAAAATCTTATTGTATGGAATATTTTTAGATCACAGTTGACTGTGGGTAACTAGAACTACAGATAAGGGGGAACTACACTATACCATAAGAAGCAACGTATCCACTGGTATTTGCAAAAGACCATTATCAATACTGAACCAGGAGGTCTAGGCTTGTTAAAAATGCTCTCAGCTGAAAATAACAAAAATAATGAACAACCATATACCAGAGACATTCTGTGGGGGTGGAGTGGGGAATGGGATCAAAAATGGGGGGGGAAGGG